GGGTCCCCGGGGTGGGGGTCCCGATGGGGAGGGCCCGGGGTGGGGGTCCCCGGGGTGGGGGTCCCGGTGGGGGGGTCCCCGGGGTGGAGTCCTGCGACGCCCGGCCACCCTGCTTCTTGCAGACTCCCCGGAGAGGAGCCTTGCTGGGGCGACAGCCATGAGTACCGGGTCTGCCAGCTGCCCGTAAGCCGAGTCCGCCCCACCCCTCTTGCCTTGGTACCCCCGCCCCAAAGGCCCCTGCTTGGTCTCCCTGGTCTCCTCTACCCATCTGTGTCCTCTCCCAGGACTGCCCCCCAGGGGCGATACCCTTCCGCGACCTGCAGTGCGCTCTCTACAATGGCCACCCTGTCCTGGGCACCCAGAAGACCTACCAATGGGTGCCCTTCCACGGGGGTGAGTAATCTGACCTCCTGGGGTGAAACAGAGAGAGAACTTTGAAAGGAGTCCGGCAACACCCAGAGGCGCAGGCACTGGGATGGGGTTTTGAAGCATACGTAGGAGCTGGTGAAGGGAGAAGCGGTCCCTTTGGCACAGCGTCAACCTCTAGGCTGAGCACTGACTTTAAGAGTTTTCTCCAGAGGCCGACAGTTTTCAGGCTGATCCCACTAACAGGAAATGTTGTCGCACGGAGCTGAAAATAGCAGCTTATATAACTGGGTGCCCGGGGCAGCAGCCTCCAGATGAAGGGAGACAGGCGGGCCGGCTCGGTGGGGCAGGTAGGCCGGCCAGCGGGGACGCCACCAACTCCCGGGGCGCCCTCCATCTGCCCCGTGCCTCCCCCACAGCATCGACTAGGTCTGCCGCCAGCCAGCCTGCGGGTCCCACCGGACAGGGAAGGGAAACTGAGGCACAGGCCGGCAGTACAGCAAGGCTCAGGCTTGCTCACTTACTCAAGGCAGTGTTCCTGGCCCGGGATGGGAAGCTGGAGGGCAGAGTGGGGGTGTGGCCTGGAGGGCACGGAGACACGGAGCGCGGGGGATGGAGGAGACAGGGGTGCAGGGAAGGTGGCGGCGCGCGGCTTTGATCCCAGGACAAGGGAGGCAGAGGCAGGCGGATCTCCGTGAGTTCGAGGCCAGCCTGGGCTACAGAGCGAGATCCAGGACAGTCAGGGTTATGTAAAGAGACGCGGTTTCAAAAACAAAAACAAAAAGAAAGAAAGCGCACGGCCTGGAGACGGGAGCGTGGAGCTGGGCAGGGCTGGAGGAGGCGGGCGGGCGGGGCGGGCCATGGGGCCGGCCCCGGACTCACCCACCCCTCCCGCCCTCAGCACCCAACCTGTGTGACCTCAACTGCCTGGCCGAGGGCCACGCCTTCTACCACAGCTTCGGCCGCGTGCTGGACGGCACCCCTTGCACCCCCGGGTCCCAGGGCCTGTGCGTCGCAGGCGGCTGTCTGGTGAGGCCCCGCCCCACCAGCTCATTTCCCTGCAGGCCCCGCCCCGGCCGCCTCCCACCACTTACGTCGGTCCCCGCCCCTTCACACTAGACTCCGCCCATCGCCCAGATCCAGGCCCAAGCCCCTCCCTCCAGGTCTTTCAAGGCCCGCCCATTTGGCTCCGGGCTCCACCCACCCCTCCAGTCACACGCTCGTGGCTCCTCCCACACTTTCCTTCCAAGCCCAACACACCAATCCCAACCGGGCTCTACCTAGGCTCCGCCTCCTTTCAGGCCCCGCCTTAATACTCAGGCCCCGCCCACCACCAGGCTTCATCGCCAGGCCCCGCCCCTCTGCTTGCCGAGCGCTCTCTCCAGCCCCGCCTCTTCGTCGTGAGCCCCGCCCACTCAGCGCGCCCCGCCACGCCCCCTCCACGCCCACCCTGACCCCGTGTCCCCCGCAGAGCCCCGGCTGTGACGGGTTGCTGGGCTCCGGCGCCCTCGAGGACCGCTGCGGCCTCTGCGGTGGCGCCAACGACTCGTGCCTGTTCGTGCAGCGCGTGTTCCGCGACGCGGGTGACTGCCCCGTCCCGCCCCAGCGCATGCGCTTGCGGAGTGCCGTGGAGAGGGCTGTCCCTTTCACAAGGCGGGCTCCCGGGAGCCGAGACTCTCGCTGATTGGACATTCGGAGGCCCCGCTCCGCAAGCCCTCACCCTGATTGGCCGCCGACAGAGCGTCCCACCCTCTCTCGAATGGATGCGCTCTTAACCCCTTCCCTGCCTCTCCTCAGCAGCATCTCATTTAATCCGAAGCTATCAGTCCCTGAGCACATGCTCGCATCCAAAGTGCACCTGGCTACTGTGCGCCCCCAGCATCCCTCCCCAGCGCACCCCCAGCATCCCTCCCCTGCGCACCCCCGAGCATCCCTCCCCTGCGGACCCCCCCGAGCATCCCTCCCCTGCGCACCCCCGAGCATCCCTCCCCTGCGGATCCCCGAGCATCCCTCCCCTGCGCACCCCCGAGCATCCCTCCCCTGCGCACCCCCGAGCATCCCTCCCCTGCGCACCCCGAGCATCCCTCCCCTGCGCA